TTGGAAAATAAGTGTGCTTCTTACTTATTTTCTAGTTTTCCGTAAATAAGCAAAAAAATATTATCCCAAGAGCATTTAGACGTAATCTAGCAAATCACCATGTGGGCGGGATGGGGTATGGAGTGGGAGTTTGGGTGGTGATTGTGGGTGGGATGGGAATTGGGGATGTTGGGTGGGTTGGGAGGAGTTAATGAACTTAGAATGTCACTTGTGGAACTTTTTTCCCTACTTCCCTTAGAGAAGTCGTTTCCTCATTTTTAAGGAGCTTGTTTCCTAGAGAAAATGTTTTCCCATATATTTTGATCAACCAAACATGAGAAAATTGAAAAACATTTTCTATTCTCCTCCATACCAAACACACTCTAAATGCATTCCGTGATTAAAATTGTTGAATAAGCTGCCATCTTATATTTAGCTCATTGCAATCTGATGAGATTCTTGTTACCATCATCATGATGCTGTTAGGTTTCAATGTTTCTGTATTCTCTTTTGATATCTCAAGCTTTGTCCTTCAGTTGACACAGAATGATTTTATCTCAGATTTCATGTGAATACTGCCATCCCTTGTCTCTACTAAAATTATATGATGCCACTGGTAAATTAAATATTGAAACGAGGAATACATATTCGTAGGGATAGTAACAGTATTTTTATGTGTTCGCGTTGGTATTCTTGAAATAGGACAACGAGGAGCTTGGAGATAATTATCCTCTGAAAGTTTGTTCCAAGTGTTTAATAATCTGTAGTACTCTTCTGGGTTAAAGGACTTGAATCATATATCTTTGTGAATTTTACTTCTGATATTCCACCAGGGAAGTCATTCCCCCCAATTTTTCTTTCCTCCAAAACGAGTATTTTCAGGGTTAAAAGAATCAATCGTTTTGTTGTGGAGTTATGCTTTCCTGTTCCTATTGGAAAATCAGTTCCCCTGTTTTATCTCCTCCAGAGAGGACCGATGATGAGAAAATGGCTTTGAGGTCTTTTTGGTAAAACTAAGCTTTAAATATTCATGTTTATGTTGAATCTATTTATGCAGAGCATCACTAAAGAGCAGGCTAAGAGATTTACAAAATTCCGAGAAAGGAAAGCTCTTATTGAAAAAGATGTGGTAAGTATCGAATTATTCCAGCCTTTTGGGCCTACAAATGACTTCCATATTAGAGGCTGAGAGCCAGTATGCAGTTCTTCACATCTGAGTCATTAACTACCCGTCTTACTTCTATAACATATTATTTTGGTAATTGTAAAATTATGACACTTCTTATTTCTCTTCTTCCCTTTTCCTTTTTCTTTTAAATTGATCTTGAAGGTCAGGACTGATAGGTCAATTCCATTCTATGATGGGGATGATAATTCTAATGTGAAGTGCTTGCGTGACATACTGCTCACTTACTCATTCTACAACTTTGACCTGGGTTACTGTCAGGTAACTGCATTACGTTAATTGGTCGTTCTTTGCTAATATGCTTGTGCAAAGTTAAATCAGCTACGTGCATGATTTTCCGATTTCTCAAACATTGAAAATCTCAGGCTTCCTGCCTCCCTTTCTCTTTCTCTTAGATGTTCTGTTTCACCATAGGGGGACTTGACCTTGAAACATTGTCTATCTAGGCAGCACCGAGTCCAACCTTGATGTTAGTTTTCTGCAGAAATAGATCCCTGTTTTCTGGTAGTATAATGGTGTGAAATAAAATGATAAGATTCAGAAGCTTGAATATTTTTTAACAAGAGACTTTGCATTTAATCTGAGAATTTTATTTCTTCATTTGGAAAATCTGCTGCCTAAACCATGGTGCGCAGAGTTACCCGGTACATGTGCTGGTGTGACGTAGAAAATATCCGGTAGATTAAGGTGCGTGAGAGCTGGTTGCCTGGTCCTGAAACCACCGTTATTTAAAATAAAAAGGTAGCAGCATAATAATGATGTTTTTATGCATGTTCTTTTTGGTAACTAACATAATAACTATCCAATGTCCTGATTGTTTACCTTCTATTCAATCTTTTCGGAAGCAATTGTCACACTGTCAGTCAAAGAAATGGTCTCACATAATGCAAATTATAGTATCTCATATTACCAACCTGAGATTACTCTGTTTCCCTTTTGTATGTAATGTCTCTCGAGAGAATTCAATTCTTAGTGGATAATACTGGTGGAATCATGCTTTCTATGATTGATCTATGCTGTTGGTGCCTTTGGGCTCCAGTATTCTATTTACAACTTGGTGCAAGTTCCTTTTCTTTCTTGGTTGCTAACTCTCTGATGAACTCTTTTTATTCTCTTGACTTGTAGGGTATGAGTGATCTTCTTTCACCAATATTGTATGTGATGGGAGATGAACCACAATCGTTTTGGTGCTTTGTGGCTTTGATGGAGCGACTTGGACCAAATTTTAATCGTGACCAGAACGGAGTGCATTCTCAGCTTTTTGCATTGTCAAAGGTTCTTTCTGTGTGTCTGGTTTCATTTAACTTGGCAGCTTTTCAACCCCCCCCCCACACACAGCTTCTTTTTTTTTTTTACTACTCAGTTTTATACTTTGTGTACCTCAGTGATGCTTCGTTCTTGCTTTTTGTATATAGACGCTGCCTTTGTTCAATGTTTTTCTTGTACCAAAGTTTCATGAATAAATTATGTATTGGCAGCTACCTTGAGGTGACCAAAAAAGCAAAGCGGCTCTAAGAATTTAATTAAAGCATTGGTATGCAGAAATAGAATAATATGAACATATGCCCACAACTCACTTGTAGTGGGACAATGCAAGAGAGGACACTGTGTCTGTAATCTGCATAAAAGCATCTTGATTATTATTTCCTTTCTTATTCTGAGGCTATTAACACAACTATAGCATGCCATGGTAATTGGTACATGCTAATGAAAAAAGCACTCGTTGCAAATAAAATCCCAAATGATCCACCATTAACTGTTGACAAATCCATAATGTTGCTATAACCTCTATAATAGGCCATGAAACAATGCAAGCCTCTTTATTGGCAGGACAATTTTCTGATTGAAGGATTAGGTGTCAGACAAATGGTATCCTTCAAATGACCACCTAAGCATGCCTGACTATTTAGAAATGATTCATTTTGCGGCTAATGTGTTTCAGTGCTGCATTTTATTTTCTTGAAGCCCTGGCGTTTCCATCCCTTCTTACCCTTTTGCTGTTATAGAAGATTCTTGATTTGTTGATATCACCATATCTGGCTGATAAGTATATGTTTGCTGTCAAAAATCTGATGCACAAATTACTGGGCTATGCAGTTGGTGGAGTTATTGGACAATCCTTTGCATAATTACTTCCAACAGAAGGACTGCTTGAATTATTTTTTCTGCTTTCGCTGGGTTCTTATACAATTCAAAAGGCAAGCAGTTCTACTCCTTAAAATTCTGTGTCTGCTAGCAGCCAGCATATTATGCGCCTGTGTATTAACAGATCATTTGTGGATCCTATGTTTAAACAAACTTGTACTATTTTCATTTTTCAGCTAAACTATACTAATTCAATATCAAAAACAGAAGTTAGATTATGCTGATGAATATGACTAATATGTCGAAATTTTTCTGACCTTGGTGAGATTTTGAGATAGCCTTGGATTAAAAGCCAAATTCCAGACTTGTTTCTCTTTTATTTCATACTGGGAAGTATGAACTCTTACCTCCCTGTTGAGTGCTCACTCCCATTTTAGTGTAAAAATCTTTTGTTTATCATGTATATGACAGCTAGTTCTCTTTTTGTCCATTGATCGTTGAACAATTCACATGACCTAGGGAACTGAAGGAATAGATCCCTTCTCATGATCACCTGGATAAGCATTTCTTCGAACTTATGCATGCATATATATATATATTCTGTTGAACCTAATAATGTTCAGGGATTTGGTCTAGTGGTAAGAGCATAGCACGTGATGCATGAATTAGGCATACGTCACAGATTCGAACTCTGCTATAGATAAAGCCTGGCATAAATTGGAGAAGGGTAGAGGGGGGGATCAATTGTCCATCAAGTTCAATTTTTAAAAAAAAACTATCCATTGAGTTCTGAAAAAAATGTGTAGAGGTCCAACTAAGTTCACTCTATTAGGTTTTATCTATTCCTTCGACATACACCAAAAAGAAGGCCTCCATTCATGGATATTTTTTAGAACTACAAAACAGTGACATTGCTAAAGTTTTTTTCACTTGTAGAAATCTGTTTTACATTTCCCCATAAGGAATCATGATTGTGGTCCTTAAAAGCATTAAGATTTATGGATGTGCTCCTTTCTTCCCAGCATCCCTCTCTCTGAGGATGGGAGGATAAGAGCAAACAAAGGGATAAAAGAATGTTTGATTTCACACCAGCAAAAATGTGATAGTTGGAGTAATTTGAATATCTTGATGCAGCTATCATTTTGTCAAATCTCATGTTACTTCCAGCTTAGGCTGTTAGACTTCAAATTGCACTAAATCGATGTTTTGATTCCCTTTAAGTTGATATGTTTCCTTTTATAGGGAATTTGACTTTGAGAAAACAATGCGGTTGTGGGAGGTCTTATGGACACATTATTTGAGCGAGCATCTTCATCTGTATGTCTGTGTTGCAATTCTGAGAAGACACCGCAGTAAAATAATAGGAGAAGAGATGGATTTTGACACACTGCTAAAATTTATCAATGAGCTAAGTGGTCATATTAACCTCGATGCTACCCTCAGGGATGCTGAGGCTTTGTGCATATGTGCCGGTGAAAATGGAGAAGCTTGCATCCCTCCTGGAACTCCACCTTCATTACCATTTGAGATTACTTCAATGTACAATCAACAGGATGATGATGATATACTGTAACCACTTCTGGATTTAAATTTCATAAATTGACATATGACCTTGGCAATCAGCGTGATATTCTTTTCAGTGTATATATGGATTTTGATAATCAGAATATTTTTTATTTTTTTTGCTGGAAGTCACTAGCTTTTTTCACCATGTTTATGCCCTTATATTGAAATCTTATTTCACTGTTCCTTAAAAAAAATTCTGTTTTCGAAGTTTTGTTGCTACACCAATGCGAATAAGAATTGTAAACCCGATAGCTAGCTTTTGTAACAGGAATAGCCGATATCTAGTTCATTACTTTTCTTCACTTAGTTGGAATTGGCAGTAGAGGAGGAAGCTGATACTTAGAAAAAGGGAGATCTATTCATTTCTGACCTCTTGATACATGCATAAATTGGTTTCGCAAATAAGCTTTCAGGCAGATGAAGCACAAGCTCAAATCCGAAACCGCTAGCATGGGAGTTGTTAACTTGTCATGGCACTAGTGGAAATTGTGCTCTTATGTGAAGGATGCAATAGAGAAATACTGCGACAAATTTCTAAAGGAATGGCTGAATCTCATTCCACGCTTCTTTGCCAGTGCTTGTGAATGCTTCAAGCAAGACAATGTCGTCCAATATGGGAATAAAAGGCTCATCTTCGAGAAATGGCATGTTATTCATTGTCAGAGGTGATAGTAAGCTGCAGTTGAAGTCCTGCATTTCTTCTATCCATGAATCTAAAACTGTTTTGGTGGCCACTTCTTGGTTGCTTACTGTCTCAGCAGGGTACTCTTGCATTTTGCCTTGTGTGCTTTGAGTATTCGCCTCCTTGGACTTGACATGCTTCTTTTTGCCTCTACATGATCTCTTGTTGTTCAAATGTGTGTTCCAGAAGTTCTTAACTTCATTGTCTGTTCTTCCAGGTAGCCTACCAGCAATTAGTGACCATCTGTACCAAAAACGATGTGAGATAAGTAAAGCAGGAAAGTATCAATTATCTATTCATGTTGTATTAGCAGGAAAGCAGGGGGGGGGAAACAGTGACCGGTTGCCAAGAAGCTTGTGGAGTCTGATGATGAGGTCTTTTTCATCTTCTGACATCATTCCTCGCTTGATGTTTGGCCTGAGGTAATTTTTCCACCTTAGTCTGCAGCTCTTACCACTCCTCATTAAGCCTAAGACGTATATTGAAACGTTGAACTCTTTGACGTCAGCATTGTAGTAGACCATTGATGATATAACATGCTATTAGACTAAAAGATTTTGGAAGTATACCTGACTTCTCAGAAATGGTAGCCCAGTTTCCCTCTCCATGAGTCTCGACGCAATTCTTCAATATCAAGTCCTCCTCAGGTTTCCAAAATCCTCTCTTCATTCTTGTTTTAACTTCTTTATCCTTCATTGCACTTTTTCTCTTCCTCTATCCTGTTAACCTTTTTGTGTAGTAAAATAGGAAATGAGTGATATTCATATATATAGATAAAAGTTTTTATTTTTTTTGGAATGGGGGGAGCGGGAGGGGGTGTGGGATGGGGTTGTGCATGTGTCTTACTCACTCTTGAAACAATGATGATGGAATTTAAAATTCTTTACTTTTGGATTACTATGTGTTGAAGTTGAGGGCCCTCAAATTTGATATCTTTTGTACTACCTGACATTGAAACCCCTTTGTGTGTGTGTTCCACTTTCATCCCACTAAAAGCCATTCACAAAGATGCTAGCTCATCTGGGTATTACCTTTCCTCAAGCCCTCCATGGGAAGGGGGAATTAGAAAAACTGATAATTAAAGACTTTCTTTTTTGGTGCATTGTGTATATGGTGGAAAGTTAATAGACTTTGAACAGACATGGATGATTACCCTTTCAAGCATAGTATCATTTTGCAATGAAAACAAACAAAAGATCATCATTTGCAATGTAATGTCATGATTAGGGGTTTTCATCCGTATGTTCAAAGTTAGTATGGTACCAAAAGCTGTCGAAATTAATGTCTAATCACTAATGTATAGTGCCTTTCCTGCTGTGCAAGCATATTTGATTGTGAACCCCTTACTTAGTAGCAGTATATTCTTAGTGAGTGGTGCAACAATGATAGAACGTAACAAAATATTACGACCATCTATCCTATGATTTGAGCCCAAGTTTACCCCTTGCAATTCGGACAACCGTCTGTAGCATCACACCCCTTTCAAGTGCTGCTTATAAGTTGGTCAAAATAGTTTATATGTACTTTCTAACTTATTTATGCTTTTGTTAAACACCCAAGTACTTATGAGTTAAGACCAATTAAAAACCATAAGTTGATGACTCCCGCTTATGGTTTTTTCAGCATATAAAGAACTTTCGATTTGTCCAAGTATTTTACTATTTATACTTAATATAATCTTTATACAAAATAGAACTCCTAATAACTCCCTCTCCATTTCATTTTCTTTGTTCGTGCTTCGCTTTGTATACATATACTCTTCTATTATTTTGTAAATAACTGTAAGTACTAATTATCAACATTTTATTTTTTTACTAAACACATCATCTACTTATTGTCAGTTTAATCACTTTCTACTCAAAACACATAACTGTTTATATAGAGACTTGTACATGTATTGGTCCTTATAATTGGTGAAAGGTATATATATAGTCCCACAAGTTCACATGTAGGTCATATAGTTCATGTTTTTTTTTTTTTGGGTAGGTACAAATAACTCTTGCCAGCTAAAATTTTTGAAGGGAGAGTACTATTATATATGCCAGCTCAAAATGTGATAGGAACCAAAGATATATATATATATATGTCTTGTACTGATATTGATATGAATCATGATGATCTTGGAAGAAGTGAAAAACACATGGAAGAGGGCATGGGACATTGGGCAATTCTAAAAGGTGCCAAAAGTGAAAATGATTGAACCCATGAGAGCATAATGCGCCAATCATCAACCTTAAAGTGCTTTGAATACTGTTCTTGATTGAACTCCAATTGCCTCCCCTCTTGGGGCTTGTCATTCCATAAATTTGGATTAATTCCCATCCATTATCCTTTGGCAAGCGGACGGTGAGCGCATGCCTTCGTTTCTAGCTTAGTCTAGATTCAAATAAGGACAACAAGTCAAGTGTGATGTTTTCCAGTTATAATCATCTGCTTAAGTTTTGATGGATATAATTACTTGATATTTGTATTAGTGGAAAATAGTAGGTATTTGATGAAATAATCAAAGTGCACACAAGCTGATGTTATCATCCTCTCGCTATTTATTCCTTTTGGTTCATCATCATTGTTTTTGTGTTAGGGTTATATAAATTGCAATGCAAATTATCTTCATACTTTGTAATTCATGAGACAATAATAAGGTCACCAACAAACTCCCCTCTTCCTCTACACACACACACGAGAAAAAAGACAGTTTGGTGTACGAAATATTTTGTATTCACGCATGATTCGAGGAAGGATTGTATTCTAAGGGTGTCTAATGTAGGCAGTCTATCCTGACTTTTGCATTATAGTGGCTAATTTCATGGCTAGAGAGTTGTTGCTTCATGGCTCATCAAAGTATAGATTTGATCTCAAATTTAATTACGAGATATCCCACCTTATCTCATGAACCAAACTATCCTAACATAGTATGTTCAACAACATTTCAACATAGAATTGTATGGTTGCATTCATAGTATGTGTGTTAAATAAGGCAAAGGAAGAAAAGGGTTGTCAAGTCCTTTCATGAAAAACTAAAGCTGCAGCATACACCTCATAAGAAGAAGATAGTGGATTAGTACAGAGAGCAATATTTGAACACTTTTAAGCTGGCATATTTCTTGGATTTTATTTATTTTGCTTTTCAACTTTTCTCATTATAGTGTTTACTGAGATTATTCCCCTTGTTTCTTTGCTCAAACAAAAAAACAGTACCAAAATCTTTCATAGATATCTTTTAAAAGTACCACATTTGTTTTTGTCCTCTTTCACACGTGGAAGGTTATTATTAATATAAATAAAAGGGAAACTTCATAAACACAAGTGAATAAGTAAAATATTTCATGATTCACAACTAATTTCGTTATTACATTTAGTACGATAAAATAAGTTTACATGATATCCGAAATCAAAAGAGTTCACATTATAATAAAATCCCTAAAATTAAGCTTAGCAATTAGATATATTTTTATGAGAAAATTTTAAACATGACTGTAGTTTGAGCCTTATTAGAAATCTATAGTTATAGTTTGAGTATTTATCATTCATAGCAATAGTTTGAGATTTTAGGAAAAAGAGATGAAGAAGCAAGCGAGATTAGGAGAGAGACGAACGAGATTTAAAAGAGAGAAACGAGAGATGTTAGAGAGAGACAATACTAAAGGTAGGAGATTGTGTTATGCAACTTATATATGTTAAAATTTGAGGGGTAACCTTTGTGTTGTAATCAGGATTTTTGTTCAATTTCAACCAATATTTGTTGTTTATCATAATGTTTTCTTTTTTGTTACAATCTCTAGCCATTTTCGTAACAATTTAAACATGCACTCTCTAGTACTTTAAGGATGACTACTTATTTTAAAAACTATCTTTTTTGCAGGATAGTTCAAGAATCCTTTAAATAGAAAAATAGGTTATTATTATTTTTTTAAAAGAAAAAAGTACATCCTAAACAGGATGTTCATCTAATTTCCTCTAGCAAAAGCTTACAAAAGTAGGCTACGCTATTCTATAGGCTCGTTGTTGGGAGAATTACATTGTATATATAAGGTAGATTCTCAATATTTTTGTATATATACTAATTTTGAACCACCAGAGATAGCCTTGTGGTACTAGATTGATGAGTTGTATAACTAAGTCACCGTTGAGCGTCCATCTTGACGTTGCTATCGATATATGTAACCATCTGGTACGTCAATTTAGTGGTGTAAGATCAGCTTGTATATACGCCTACTCACTTCACATTAGGGGTGTCAATTTCAGCTCAAATAAATGAAATGAGTCCATTTTGCTCATATTTAATGACTTGGATCACTCATATTTTAAATGGGTAAGTATGAGCTTCAAGCTATTTTAAGAGCTCCTACAAAATGGTTAAAATATGGGTATCCATATAGACCCATAATAGATAACTCACTTCTCACTTCTACTCAAAATTATAAATTCAGCTAAAAAATAAAAATTCTAATATCAATTTTTAATTTTCAAAATTATTAATTTATTTTTCAAAAAAATTAGAGGGTGGACCCGGGGTAGGGGTAGGGTTGGCCAAAAAAAATCAATTTTTTTCTAGGGGTGGGGGCAGGTGGGAATG